ATACGAACACAATTACATAAGCAGCTTTTACTATACTTATTAAGCCTGGCAGTATCATCTAGAACTAGTCTATGTGGGTCACGCCGGTTCCTAGGATTAACATCATTGACTGATTTAAACAAAGTTTTATGTTTATTAACGAACATGCATATTTCATAAATATAGAGGGATGGCAATGGTAACAAATTTAGTTTTTTAAATATGGGTTGACACGAGTCCTCCGGTTGCATCCCGAACATTGCTCTAACTCTGCATCTCTTTGTGTGATCTACAGATTGTTGTTCCGGGTCTGGGTGTCATGTGTATGTGAACTTGTATGTTTGTAAACGCACCCACGACACTGGGGAAAATCTTAGTGTGGGGCAATGTTTAAAAAAATTTTTTTTTCCGCGAATGTTTCAAACAATAAAAAGCTCAATTACTTATGTGGGAATAGAGTTGGAAACTCCTTGTGCACCTGCGCGTACCACCAACTTAAGCGAAGAGTGTGAGTTAACAAATGGTTGTTTTGTATTAAACTAACACATTTATTATGACGATTTTTGTTATTGCATGATTTTTTTTGCAATCATATTTTTTTATTTTATTGTAAACATATATTTCATTTAAATTCTTATAAATAACTTTAATCTTTTATGACGATAAATCTTCTTTTTTACATTCTTACATTCTTTGATTAATCCTTACTAATATTTATAATATAAATCAGAAAGTGAGTTTGTTTGTTTGTTCCGCTTTAACGCCGTAACTACTAAACCGACTGCTTTGAATTTTTGTAGACGTAAAGTTATAAGTCTGGATTAAATAAAAGGGTACTTTTTATCCCGGAAAAATTTGGTATTCTCGAGGGAAAACGAAATTATTGGTATAGATGGCGCTGTGTGTATTGGCATATGTCACATAGGCTTTTTATCCGTGCGAAGCCGCGGGTAAAAGCTAGTCAATCTTATAATTGACTCCAACAAGAAAAAAGGTTCTTTATGATTTTAGTTGACTTTTGTTTAAAACCCAATATGAATGTTGCTACCATGAACAACAGAAAACATTAAAAATGTATTAAGTAGGTACACTTTGTATGTCCACCTACCAGTCAATTAACCTATCTAGTATTGTAAGTGTATGAGATCATCTGATTGACATTACAATACACAGTTGGGTACTTTCCTTAATCAAAAATATATTATTTCGACTGTTAAATACAATAAAATATTAAAAAACAATCACACATAATTTTATTATTCTGCCAGAATTTTTTTAAGAAATAAGTTTGCTGTTTGTCGTTAAAAAAATGTGACTTTACAATACACAATCACGTAAAAAGTTCATAGAAAACTTGTTTTTGACAGTTTTAACTGGTCGAGTACCGGTTTTGTAGACACAATTATAGAACAATAGGTTGCGGTCACCGGTGACCGCTTGGTGTTTGACAGTTTAAATAAGTATTGAATTGGACTTGTCGGCAAGTACCCAGTTTAGCGTAGATCTGTAACTCTGTATAATATAATAGCTCAGACTTAAACTACTAGAATTTACAAAAATTGTAAGACTTCCTTCAGTGTTTAGTTGAGTTAAAGATTTGAAGGAAATTCGATGATAGGCACAGTTACTGTTGTCTGATGGTGAAAACCTATAATGCAATAACATATTTGCTGAAATTTTCATTTTAGGCTACATAATAGCACTTTTACACATCAACATTATAAGAAATTCTAGATATGGCACCGGCCTCATCTGTAAAGTTGGCTGGTGATTAATGATCATCAATTTTAAGATACATATTACTTTAATCATTAAAACCCAGTCTGTGGACTGACGATGCATGATTCATCACTCACAAATAAAGCTAAAGAAAGTATGTAAGAATGATAGTAGTATTCTGTGATCTTCTTCAGACTTTATTTTTATTGCCCTTAGGGTTATTTTTTTTTTCAATCTCTGACTGGATTTTAGTGTTATATAGTTCTCACACAATTGAACAAACAAAAGTGTAACTAATATTTCTACATATTGTGAACCTGATTGCAAAAGAGTAACAACACATGGAGTTTCTTGCTCGTTCTTCTCCATAGGACACACCTACAACTTGGAATGAGCAAATAGCTTAATTTTTTTTTTACTTTATATATAATCTTGACTGGCTTTTTGACAAGTCACACAAAAGTATGACATTTATTTAGGTTTATGTAGATAGTACTATTGCCCCATTCTAGTAAATTATGTAATATTTATTTCTTAGAGACTCTAACATTACTATAAGCTGCAAGCAATGCAAATTGGAAACTACATAATAAAGTTATTCATATGGTAAAAACAACTTGACTTCCTTTACATGACTCACAAAACATATTTTATACTGTACCTAAACAGACCTAAAATAGTTGTCTAACGACCTAAATAAGATTATTAGGTTTTAAATTAATTTAAATTGTTCATTATGGCCCTACAATGGCAATAGTCTCACCTCCTTTAACATGAGACTCATTAAAGTGAGAAACTGAGTGTTATACTGTAAGGAATTTGTATTTATCATGACCACAGTAATGAGGATATTGTTATTGTTAAATCTGTTTCTTAACTCGTCGAGTACTATCATTATAGACACAATTATAGAACAATAGGTTGTGGTCACCGGTGACCGCTTGGTGTTTGACAGTTTAATATGTTGAATGTTGATATATCATTTTGTCTCTTGCTTCTTCAACTATACCATGGGAACAGTTTTATCAAACTCTAGAGTCTTATTGGACTATTAGTATGCCTTGATCCACTTATCACAGATTGTAAAACTCAATATTAAATCTTTTGACTGTAATAGTAATAGATGTGAGTGAAAGCTATTCTTTGATTTGTGATTTCTTTCTCTTATAAGATGAAAGAGATAATGTGGTTAGTGAGTCATGTCTTTGTATGTGTGAACTATTTACATTTGTCATAGTTTCTAAAACCTACAATCTTTTTGTAGCAATAATAAGAACGATTGTGAAATTTAGAGTACAAGAAAAAAATTTACAAATAAGGAAGTAAATATAGGCAAAGGCACAAGACATTCAGCCAAAGGCCGTTATAAGGATGTACCAACGAAATATCTAACAATTAATTGAATAACAAGGTCACACATACATGTCAACGAAGAACCAAATTGCGAATTAATTTTACAAGATCATAAGAACATCGAGTAAGAAACTAATACGACTACTCACCTCGCTTATTCTTTGTGCCATTTTTCCTAGCTGTCTGTATTTCTATATCGATTTTCTTTTCTAGAAACTCCTGTTTTTTCAGCAATAGCTCCTCCGTCTCGCGTAATTTCTGAATAGCTTCATGTGTCGTCGGGCCCTTTTCTTCCTTCTTTCCACCGAAGAGCTTCCCCAGAAAACTCATCTTGGACCACCAATAATCCTATTAAATGCTAAATAAACAATTTATTGCAAAAGATTACTCACTAATTACGCGTAAAAAGATGAAATTGGTATTTCGATTCCGATTCTTTTACGGGAGTATGCGTCACCCAGGTAACATTCGAAGTATAACATTTAGCAATAACAATAGGTGTATCAATAACGAAAAACGAATAATCTAAAATTGTGAAATAAACAAAATAGAACTATTTGTTTCTATATCATTTAAGTGAAAATCGTAATTTCTATAAACAGACAAAAGGTTTCACTAATTTTTTGTGCCAACCTTAACGGATAAAATATTTCCGAATGAAGTTTTCAAACGCACCACGAGACAAGCTGTTTTCTGTCAAAATATTGTTTTTTTTATTTTGGCAACCGAATGTTGTCAGATCACGCCTGTTATTCGCTAAACTCAAGCAGATAGCTTGGTAAAAACGTTTGTTCCGTAACTTATGCTGCCTAAACCTAAACAAACATTTATATAATAATATAGACAAATACGACATACACTCAGGTCAACCACACACAAATCAAATAATCAATGGAAGTATGGAAATACAAACATTATGAACTTGTAAGTAGAAAATACGTTATAAAGACGTATGTGTTGAAAAATAAATAGAGTTTTTAATTATTTTAGAGCTCCAACTAGATATATACGTTTTCAAATAGATCGAATAAGTTACATATTTCGGAAAACAATTAAATCTTATGAGAGACATCATGCATAACTCTCATATCGACGATCTTTTTCTTTTTCTAATTTCTTGCCTTATTGGCCGAGTGGTCGCAAGTGCGACTGCCGGGCAAGGGGTCTCGGGTTCGATTCCCCGGTAGAGCAAAGTGTTACTGGGTCTTTTCAAAAACTCTCAGTAGTAGCACGGAGTCTGGAATTGTGCCCGGTATAAGGCAATAGGTTCACCCCCTATTACATGGGAAGGGACTCATAACATAAATACTGAAAAGTGGGTGTTGCATTGTAAAGTGGCATTAAGTGTACCTACAGTAGAAACGCGACAGTCACCGCGTCGCGGGTTGCTGCTTATGAATATGAGCCTGAAACTAGTCGAGTTCCTTATCGAACAGTTACGTGAGCAAGCCGCAAACATAATAAATTATTATTTAGACATTCTAATTAGTAGGTATGTCTCACAAAAGTTTGAATATAAGGAAAAATTGCCGTAATGTACAATTCTGCCCACTACTTCGGGGATATAAGGCGTGATGTTATGTTGTTGTATGTTTTTCTTTTTCCAACAGTAAACAGTGGTGAATCGAACAATTGAATCCAAATTTCGTTTTAAACTGTCAAACACCGCGAGGACACCGGTGACCGCAACCCAAAGAGTATAATAAGTATAGGGGATACCGCAACCTATTGTGTCTATAATGACGGTACTCAACGAGTTAATTACTAACTTCTGAGTTTCTATTTAACATCGAGTTTCTCTGATATAAAGTCTAGTCATAAAATAAAATAATGTTAGTTTCTGAACGTAACAAAGTGTTTGAAAATCGCATGACATTGACTGTATGTAACTGTTTGACAACTGACATTTATGTCAATGTCAACATTCAAAATTGTCAACCCTGCTTGCACTTTGCAGTACAGCTGTTGTCATTTTGTTGTAGCCAAATTCACCGCATGCGAACAAAAACAAATATTTACAAGAAACTACTCGCAAAATAACACAAGTTTTGAATTTAAATCCTCAAACAAAATATAAAGATGGTCCGTGTAATAACTCAAGAGACGTACGATGAAGTCGTGAAGGAAAACATCGAAGAATTTGAAATGACCCCCGAAGAAGCTATCAAAGAGGCAGTTGCTCAATTTGAGGCACAGGTATGTATAAAAAACCTATTTAAATCACATAGAAATTCTATAGCGGAAGTGTAAAGTCCACAATAATGTTTAAAACATGTAATTGTCTGCATACAAAATAGTAATTTGAATCAAATTCGTCATATCTATAATTAACATGCAGGATCATTCTTAGTGATCTAATCAATGTCCTTTCAAACAGAATCTTAGTTAAGTGATGACTTCATTACCTACCTGAGATGTTTTAGAACCTCTGGTTACTGTACTGAGTTTTTCTAATGCATTTTTTCTGCCAGTTTTTTTCTTTAGTGTGATCAGTCGACTTTAGTAGTCGTTATTTAGAGTTGCTCTGGTTCAATTTGTGTTTTTACCTTGTTTGGGTCAGTGGGTCATCTTATTGTAATATTACTATAAAAATGGAAGTAAGTTGTGAAAAATATTTTTATAAATATCAACATTCACATATAAAATGAGAGAATCATTTCAAAACATTCACATAAATGATTCTCTAATTTTATTCATGACTAGCCGTTGCCCGCGACTTTGTGTAGAATATGAATAGAACATAATTTATTTTTGTTTAATTTTACCAAAATAAAAGTAGCCTATGCTACTCCTTAGCACATCAGCGACCTGCCAATAAAAGTCTTGAAAAATTGGTCCAACCATTCCAGAGATTAGCCAGTACAAACATACAGATAAAAATTTTAAAAATGTATTTTGGTATGTGTATAGTACATATAATCATATGCATGTAGTTATTTTAACTCGTCGAGTACCGTCTTTGTAGACACAATTATAGAACAATAATCGGTGACCGCTTGATGTTTGACAGTTTAATATTACAAAAAGACACACCAATTTTATTTATCTGTATAGATTAAATTTATCCCGAAGCAGCGCACGGCCTACATAAATATACTTTTATACTTTCAAAATAATATACTGAACGCCTTGTCATCATAAGTAATCATTTTAGAACTAAATTAATCTAATAACATGTTTGTTCTTTTTTTCCAGGGAGTAGACCTATCAAATATAATAAAAGACCTGGCTCTTGGTTCCGGAGATAATCATGTGGTTACAGAGAATGTTGCGAGGTTGAAGGAACTGTGCAGCGGTGATAAATATGATCATGATGTAGTTTTAAAGGAATTGAGTGTTTTAAAGGTATTTTTTAAATAATGTATTATTTGTATGTACTAAGTAATGTTAGCCACTTATTATTCTGGTGATCATAAACCGCATTAACTGGCCAATGCCCAAGCGATCAGTGACCGCTCTCAACTATCTCCATTGTAGACTATATTTCCAATGTTTAGAGACTACTTTTGTATCAACAAATTTTGGGGGTATTGGTATGATATATGAACATATTAATATAAGCTTTAAAATCTAAGATCTGAGAATTTTGATACAATACTAAAATCAAGTATAATTAGAATGTTAGAATCACAGCAATTGACATTCAATAGTCTCTGATGTACAGCCATTGGAGACAGGCGGGCGGTATGTATCTTATACCATTATCCACAAAGGAAGTCTAGATGTATGTGTAAATAGACAAGATGCTACCAGAAGATCTAATTGCACCACAGAATGTTAAACGGTTAAAAAATTTACTGATAATTGAATTAAATAGTAATACAAAAATATGATATAGCCATATATCAGTTGTTTGAACTGCCTGCCTGATTTAAATATAAATAATATTTGTTTGCACTCCACTTCCCTTTTGGCAATGTGAGGAGTGCTCAACACATACACATACTGGACGACCCTCTTTTTTCCCAACTCCTGATTACTGGCTCCATCTAAAGGTTGTCTGTAAGACATCACATTCTGCGATAGATAAGACCGCTCATTGGACACATATTTTACTTTTATTTTTTTATGCTATACAATAAAGTGTAAATAAATAAATAAGGAAATGTAAAACTTGGACACAGGTTTTTCACACATTTTTATACTCTGGCGAACCAACCTTTTAGGGAACATGACTCACGACTTGACCAACCCGGTCGCACCTTTTCAATGTCAAATCAATTTCTATTAAACCAATGCTGAAACATATTTTTACATTGTTCATACTACAACCACCGATACTGATGATATTCCCTATTATCAAATAATAATACAGATAATAATTGTATTGTATTGTCCAGAAACTCCTTTCCCTGGAGCCCTGACCACCGGTAGCTTTGATTTCTCCCGTTACTGGTGGGCTACTGCTTTTATACTTTTAAATGTTTTTTTTATATAATTAAATATTTAAAAGTATATAAGACAAGTATAAAAATAAATAAAGGAAATAATAATCTTAATCAAATATTCCTCATTTTCCAGGCAGAATGTGAAAAGGATATTGCCCGTAGAGTCCGTGCAGGCAAAGAAGGTGCATACAAGGTGTTATTGGACCTCCTTTACTCCAAGTACAGTAAGCTCTGCCAAGAACTAAGTGACCGTGATACAAAGTTCATTATCAATGTGCTGGAAACGATAACCTCATTAATGGAAATGCAGCCTGATTTGCTAGATAGTAAGGGCGTGGATTTGATTAAAAAGTAAGTGTGCTATGTCTCATTTTGGTTCCGAACATAATGTTAATTTCAACAGTTGTAATGTGCTGCGAGTTTGATTCTTGCACAGAAAAAAAATTATGATCCTTTTTTTAACATATGTTACCCCACACTAGGATTTTTTCTTATGTCGTGGGTGCGTTTACAAACATACAATTACACATGTACAACCAGATCCGATACAACTCTTTTTTTTTTCTTAAATCCACACTAGGATTTTCTCCTGTGTCGTGGGTGCGTTTACAAACATACAAGTTCACGTACACAATGACACCCAGACCCGGAACAACAATTTGTGGATCACATAAAATGTTGTTCCGTGCGAGAATCGAACCCGCGACACGTTGCACGGCAGCTGATTGCCCAGCCACTGCACCAACCGTGCAGTCTTTGAGTCATCCACAGATTGTTGTTCCGGGTCTGGGTGTCATGTGTTTGTAATCTTATATGTTTGTAAACGCACCTAACCGGAGAAAATCCTAATGTGAGGAATCGTTTATAAAAATAAAATATACTTCCTTCAATTACAGTATTCTAGATAATGTGGAAAACGAAGATATTTTAGTAGCTACATTGAAATGGACGACAACATGCTGTGTCAAACATGAAATGAACAGACAAAAACTGTTTGCTAAGAACATCGCTGAGAATCTCAAATTGTTGCTGAAAGTCACTGGAAATTATAAGGTAATACAAATGTGTACTAAGTAACATAAAACCACAAATTAAATGAATTATTATGTTTTCGGATAACCCTGTTAACTATTTTTATAATAAACTAGCGACCCGCCCCGGCTTCGCACGGGTGCAATATGCATGTATTATACATTCAAACCTTCCTTAAGAATCACTCTATCTATTAAAAAAAACCGCATCAAAATCCGTTGCGTAGTTTTAAAGATCTAAGCATACATACGGACATACAGCGAAAGCGACTTTGTTTTATACTATGTATTGATATCGTGAGAAAAGCTCAGAGGCCTTAGTACGGGTTTGTTTTACGTTTAAAGTAATCGTAACGAGTACGCTTTCGGCGCTGTGATTGGTTGCTTCATTGGCGCCGGCCAATCAGAGTGCCGAACGCGTACTCGTTTCGAATACTTTAAACGTAAATCAAACTCGTACTAAGGCCTCAGTGCTCAGTGAGTGTGTGTGTTCGAAACTAGTAGGGTTTTCTCAGTATATTCACGTGAGTAACCCGCGATTTTAGTTAACTCTGTTAACTGTTTGCCGAGGAACTCGACCACTCGTTCCTCGGCAGACTCGAGTAGCCAGTAGCAGCGCAGCGACAGTCGCCGCGTCGCGGGTCGCAGAATGCTGCTCATAAATATGAGCCTCTAGTGTGGCTTGAAACTAGTCGAGTTCCTCGTCAAATAGTTACGTGTGTAAGCCGAAAAATATAGTTAATTTAGTATGTCTCGCGAAAGTTTTAATATGATCACTAATTATGGGTAATTCTTGACTGACAATTTCCAAAAATTAACTCGTCGAGTACCGGTTTTGTAGACACAATTATAGAACAATAGGTTGCGGTCACCGGTGACCGCTTGGTGTTTGACAGTTTAAAGTCCTATGCCAGTTTTTCTCTCTTATATTTTAAGGAACCTCTTATCTAAGGAGACACTGGCACTCACCCATCGAACATTTTGGTTTTCAACCCCACGCTATGTAAAACTAAGTTAAGAAAGGTACAGTTGGTGAAATCAAACTTCAGACAACAACAGTCGCTCTTATTTGCCTCACATTATCTTTTTTCATAATCACTACAATTTGTGGATGTCATGTATTTTGTGAGAGGCTCAAACGCATAACATTTTATGCGGCAGCTTGTCACGTAGCGACTGAACCTATGATGCGAATATGCAATTAATTATTTTTTTGCAGTTACTAAGTGAAACACTACAAGTGATCAGGAAACTGACATTAGACGACGATGTTCGCGTCGAGTTCGGTAAGGCACACGACCACGCCAAGGAGTTGGGAGCGCAAATGTTGGAGCCACTCACTAATTTGTTGAAAGGTCAGTATTTATGCGCCCACACACACACACATACACACACACATACACACTTGAAAATGAAGTTGATTTACACCCTAAATAGATATCAAATAATATTTTTGTTGCTTATTAAACTTCAGCAGCATTTGGGATACTAAGCGTTATTTCGTTTATCTCAGTATTGAATAAATTTGTCTACATCCTTTTATAATAGCTTATCGTTTTATAGACTTCAACTCTGAATACTTGGTAAAATTAAACATAGTGATAAGTCAAACAAAGAAGGCCCCAATACTGAACCCTGAGGCATTCCAGATATAATTTAAGAAATTAATGCGTCTAGAATTAGAATACTAAAATTTGATAACTTTTTGTCAATGAAAGCCATTCATCTATGTCTTGACAAGACTTTACCTCTAGATCTTTTAGTGGATGTCCTTTTAAATTGATATAAAATTACAGAGAACACAAAACCTCCACTAGTATCGGAGCTTATGTTGACTATAGCGAGTCTCCTGGTGCGCCACGAGCTCTGCAAGATGGTGGCGGACTGCGGAGTCGATGTACTGTTCACAGTGCTCGCGGATAACTATGATAATGTTACCGTAGTGCAACAAGCTGATAAATTGTGAGTATAATTGTTTTTCAAGCTTTAGTTTAGGAAATTGTAAATTCTAAATTTACAATAAATATTAAGTAAAGTATATTAAATTCACGATTAATATTAAATTAAATAAATATGTACAACTTAAAATATAAATATTAAATATCTAAAAACAAAAAATATTTACACCTTAAAAAAAAATGCTATCTTAAAAAAAAGGTATCAAAAAAAATATTCCTCATCGCTATGAGGTAGGGTGCCGAAACGACTGACAGCATACTGTTTAGGAAGTTGGGTCGTTATATCGCGGTGTATAAATACATTTTATAAAATCTAACAAGTGACCTGCCCAGCGACCACGCTCTCACTGCATCACTTAAAGGTTGGCTAGTAAGAATGCCCATGGCATTAAGCCCGCTCTTGTTGCATAAAGTTAAATAAATAAATAACTTAAACAGGCAATTAGTTGTAGGACTTACTTTATCCAAACTTTAGTTTTAGACAATAGTTTGTTTTGCGATAAACGCATTCAATTAAAAATCCATTTGTTTTAAACACACGTGCATTATATATTTCTTACATTCATCATATGTGAAGATTTTAGCTCACAGTTTAATTTACAATACCTACTCTTGTTTTTAAAAAAATCCTACATAACCAATGTAATAGATAAGGCATTTTTAAGTCTAAAGGTGCTAAGTATGATAATTGTGAGGGTAGTTTCACAAGCCTTAATTCTGAAATCTACAAAACCTTCTTCAAGTGCCAAACAATTAGAAACCACACATTTTCTCAGCAGACTGGTAATGCGATCTCAAGAACAAACATCGCTCATTATCAAGATGCAACGTCTTCTTCTTAACAATGATCTCATTCTCCAGAATAGACCGTTCGTGTATTAACTCCGCCCTCAATTTCTCAGTCTCCAACGAACGCTTTTGTAACAGACTCATACTGTCATTCAAATCTCTTACTTCTTCTATTAAGGCTACTAAAGACCCTTCCCTGCAATTCTCGACGTTAGGCCTACAGTTTTTAGTGTTCAATCTTGTTTGCGCCACTTGTATTCTCTGCGATACCTTCAACATTTCTTCATGTAACATCTCTAGAATGTTCTCCGTCTCAACTATCTTTTCGAGGGTCAACTTTAACTGGTTTTCTAGTTCGGTCTTTACTTGTTCCGTTCGAGCGATCCTTTCGCTTAACGACTTGTTCACTTTGATGTCTTGCGAACGAAGATCCCTCGATGTGTTTATTAGGATGGCGTCCACTTTTGCTCGCAAAGCTTTTGATTTGTCGATGGATATTTTGAATTCGTTTAAAGCGTTTATCGTGTATTGTTCCCACGATGGTACGTTCGATTGACCTGCAAAATGATATTGTTAATATAGTTTTAAATTGAAGAATATTTAGGTCTTATATCAAACTTCAAAAGGTTTCTACAAAAACGAAATAATAGAATTAAACACGAAATGAATGTATTTGCAAATAGGCTACAGAATATTAATATTATTAGTCTAATATAGGGTCTATTTCCAAATTCCAATTAAAGTGAACAAAATGACCATTTCAATACTCTCTCTAAAAGTACTACTTAGAAAAACTTACCTTCAGAAAGTCGAGTAGCGCCCGCAGAATCTTTGACATTGACAGCTTTGGTTTCCAAGTAAGCATTTTCACTTTCATATTTAAAGGCCAATTGCTTGTCACTCCAATCTCTTTCCAACCAAGTTTTGGACGCCACATTCATATCCAGCTGGTACTCAACGTCCCTTAGCAAGTCTCTATGCAATTTTTTAACGTTTTCTATCAAAGCCGACTCAGTGAACAAATCTTCTTGCGGTTCATCGTAAATCAAATCCGATTGCATTCGCATTCTTCTTAAATCTAAGCATTCTTCATTTATGTATTCTGGTATTTTCAAAGTATCCATTGCGTTTTTTAGCTGTTGTCTTTGAGCTTCTAGTATATTGATTTCTGCGTCCATATCTCTTATAGCCCTTTCTAGTTCAGCTTTCCAGTAGTTTATATGTCTTGCTCTATGTTTTAGCTGATCAGTACTATCGCTGAAGTCTTCGCAAGATGTGTGGTTGACTTTTATAATGCTGTTTTTGGTGATCGCAGTATTTTTGTCAGTCGTTCGTATTATGTCGCCTTTTAAGACTAGTTGGTTGTGTTCGTGCCAAGTTTTTATTGTTGATAGTCCGTTGTTTCTGTCTCCGAAGGAGAGGTAGTCGCCTTTCTCTGCTGTTGTCATTTTTGTTTTATGTTTTTTTATTTTTCCTAAAACTTTGATGATGTTTTCAATATTTCCGAGTCTTGGGGAAATGTGGATGTTATTATTTCTTTTAGATTATATTTTATAGAATTCTCTTCTAGCTTTTGTAATTCACGTGCGAGTGTGCCGCTTTAAAAGTGATTATTGACTAAACTCTGCCGTTGCTATGATAACAAACAGTTACTAAGGAGTTGACCCATTTTTATAGTATTTCGTGCAATTTAGTTGTTTATTGTCAAAACAGGTTTGTAGTTATAATAGTAATTTAAATTTAGACCATCCTTTAAGCTATGTATTATTTTGGCTTTTTATAGCAGAACAAATTTAAACTAATTCCTAAGAAGCCATGTACAAAATATGATAAGAATCCGCTTAACCATTTCCAAGATCTAAAAACGTTACCCCAGTAAAATCTCGAATAGCTTCGCAACCGATGAAAGAACAAACACAAAATAAGGCACAACGTTTTTGTTGAAGCGTTTGATAAATGGAAGTAGTATTTGCATGATAAATTGATTTTATTTTATAGACTTCTCTCTAGCTTTTGTAGTTCACGTGCGAGTGTACCGCTTTAGAAGTGATTATTGAGTAAACTCTGCCGTGGCTGTGGTAACGATCAGTTACTAAGGAGTTGACCCATTTTTATAATATTCCGTGCAATTTAGTTGTTTATTGTCTAAACAGGTTTGTAGTTATAATAGTAATTTAAATTTAAACCATGGTAACTTAGGTTCTGAGACTAGAAAGTTTTATTAGATATTACCAACTGCTGAAATACAACTTCAGAGATCCTATGTAAATGCCTATGAATATTCCTTTGAGAAATATCAGCAAGTATGACGTCACATAATTAGTATATTTTGTTATATTTTGTTTCAGAATAACAGCTTTAGCAGGACACGACGATGTCAAAAGAGATCTGGTGAAAAGCGGTATTGTTCCAGTTGTAGTCTCCATACTGTCCAGGCATTCAGTGAGTTTGTTGTTCAATATTTATAGAGGGTATAAGCGTCCTCGTTCATCATCCACAACCCGATTTAACAGACTTCAAAAAGAAAAAAAAAGGTTCTGAGTTTAACCTGTATGTATGTGCACGATAATCTCGCGATTGGCTGAACTGATTTTGATGCGGTTTTTAGAAAGATACTCAAGAGAAGGCTTTAGCATATAAACCGACCTCAAAAAAGACGAGGTTGAAGTCACTTTTTATAAACGTGGTTTATAAAAGAATTATAATTATTTACAATTTGTATTGTATTGTATATTGTTGTATTGCAATCACGTAGAAATAAAACCATTATAAATTATTTTTCCAGAGTAATGCGAACGCAACAGCGTTAACACTAAAATGTATAGCGGCGCTGTGTCTCCGCGAGCCGACACATGGACAACAGTTCATAGACAGCGACGCGCCCGAGGCCATAGTGGAATGTATGAAAGTGCATCCTGATAATGCTAATGTTCAGGTTCGTAACTGAAATATTATTGTTTTTTTTTATGAGATAAGCCGGTAAACGAGGAGACGAATCACCTGATAATAAGCAATCGGTGTCGTCCATGGATACCTGGAACACCAGAGCCGTGACAAGTGCGTTACTGGCCTTTTGTAAATTTAAGGGTTGTGGGTATTTGGGAATTGAGGAGACTGGGGAGGGGGGGGGATGTAATTGGGCCTCCGGTAACATCTCTTAGACTATTGTTTTACGTCGGTTTTCTGCTCGGCCGTGGTATCACTCCGGTCGAGCCGACAATTCGTGCCGGAGCATGTCTATTCCACACTTTTATTTTAAAATCTTATCATTTGGTGTTCCATTCTTTCTGCGTCCCCCCCAATGGGAAATAAATTTGATAATTATATATAACTAGCTTTTACCCGCGGCTTCGCTCGTGTCACAGAAGGATAAAAAGTAGCCTTTTTTATGTGACGTATACCAATACACACAGCACCATCTATACCAATACTTTTGTTTTCCCTCGGGAATATCAATTTTTCCGGGATAATAAGTACCCTATTATTTTATCTGGACTTCTAACTTTACGTCTGCAAAAAATCAAAGCAATCGGTTTAGTAGTGACGGCGTTATAGCAGAACAAACAAACAAACTCACTTTCCCATTTATAATATTAGTAAGGATTGTTTGTTATTTTATAACGATCCGTGATGTGCGTTACCCAGGCAGATGTTGTCGAAAATGGTCATTTAACATTTCCTGCTGGGGTAACGTTTCCCCAGCCACACCTTTTTCTTTCTGATGGGAATATTTAAATAATTACTAGCTATAAAATTAGTTGTCTAGATGAAGTAAATGTTGTGCCTTATTTTGTATTTGTTCTTTCATCGGTTGCGAAGTTATTCGAGATTTTGCTGGGGTAACGTTTTTGGTTTTGCTACATCTTTGAAATACTTAAGCAAATTCTTATACATGACTTCTTAGGAATTAGTTTAAATTTGTTCTGCAATAAAAAAAAACAAAATAATTCATAGCTTAAAGGTTGTTTCCTTAAACTGTCAAACACCAAGCGGTCACCGGTGACCGCAACCTATTGTTCTATAATTGTGTCTACAAAACCGGTACTCGACGAGTTAAATAGAAAAACACTTGAATTGGTCCCAGCACTGTCAATAAGAGCTCTAAAGAAACGTTATTTTAAAGTTTTTAACTACCTCCTACTTCTACTTTTTGATGATGTTTGACTAGAATGACCATTTTTGACAACATCTGGCCTGGGTAACGGACACGGTTCAGTGGGGTAAGATGTGGCTTCAATGTGACTTATAATACCAAAGTTGCCAGTTGCCTTTTGTTTTCCGAAGTATAGGCAGAGGTACACATACAATGGAACACGCAATTTTCGCGATTTTATAGATCGATGTTCAGATTAGAGGGGCGATGAACCGATTATTTACCGACCGAAAACCGTAATTGTTAAACACCTGAAACCACTCGACCGACGAGGCAGTCACTTGCAATATCTAGTTGTAAAATAATATAAAGAGCATCAAACGTTTTAAATTTTTTATGAGTTTCTCATTAACTTTTCACTTTTACAGAAAAACGCCTGCTGGGCCATTCGCAACATGGTAGCAAGATGTCGCGACCAGAACGTGAAATTCCACGAGTTGGGAGTCGAAGCTATATTAAACGCAGCGTACGATAAATTCGCGAGTGATTTCGGTTTCGATATCAAATCTGCTTTAAGAGATTTGGAGTGTGATGTCAAGTTGGATGAGCAGTGGACTGGACAAGGAGTGCAGTTGGAACATTGAGACTCCATGAATAGACAAAAGTCTATTTAAAAACGTATCACATCAAGGTTGAGTGATAACGGAGATACAAATATTCCCCAAGTGGCCTGGAACTGGAATACTTCACTTTGTCACTGTCATGCAAGTTTCGGATTAAAATCTTTTTAGGCCTTAATTAATGTGTATAAATTTGTTCAGGCCCCTTTTCCAATCAGCTGACGATTAATCATAAGAGATTATTATTATCTAATAACAAGTATCGGACACTAAAATATGTCCAAATACTATTTTAAGTCGTACTTGAGTATATTTCTGTCACTATAATTCTGTGAAAAATGACAGAGGCACAACTTAAATTGTACGTTTGCCTCTCGGGTACAGTACGCTGGTATTAATGCTACTAATAGTATAAACTAAGCCAACAATAATTATTTTATCGTGTCCGTTACCCAGGCCAGATGCTGTCGAAAATGGTCATTTAAATCTTATAGATAATTAGTTGTGAGGCTTCAGTAATTGTTGCGCATATAGTTTTTTAATTATTTTCACAAAAACATTTCCTACTGGGGTAACGTTATCCCAGTAGCTTTATAAATTAGTTGTCTAGATGAAATAAATGTTGTGCTTTGTTCTCTATCTGGACAACTAACTTTATAGCTAGTAATAATTTAAATATTCCCATAGGAATAAAAAGGTCTGGCTGTGGGGTAACGTTATCCCAACAGGAAATAATAATGGAAATGTTTTTGTGAAATAATTAAAAAAATAAAGCGCAAAAAATTTAAAAATGTGCGCAACAATTTATCTACAAGATTCAAATGACCATTTTCGACAACATCTGGGGTAACGCACTGTTTTCGGCTTGCTCACTTAACTGTTCAACGAGGAACTCGACTAGTTTCAAGACTAGCATGTCTATGCTAGAGGCCCCTATTCATAAGTAGCTTTCGGCGACACGACACGGCGACTGTTGCGTTGCTACGCAGTGCATTTCACAATATTTAGTACAAATTTGAATATACTACAAATTTGTTTATATTGGGGCCAATGTGCTATACACTGGAAAAACAGTAATATTTAAGCTATGGCAACTACATTCCTAAATTGTATTAAAATTTTGTATTTTTTTAACTTAGGTTGTGTTGAAGCTCGATTTTTTTGTATTATTTTGTGATAACTTACCTCTCTGGAATAATGTGCCTCGATTTAATATTTCTTCTCAATTTTGTACACTAGAAAATAAACCATGGTGCTTACAATAAAAAATAAAACTAAAACAATTAATAAAAAAATATTTATTTACAATAACACACTGTTTTCGAATAATTGAATAAAGCTCATATTTATGGCGACAATTTTGGTTTTTTTCTTTCATTTCTGTGATCATTGCGTAGTACAAAATTTTAAATTCTTTATATTATTTTTGATGGACATACATTTAGTACTAGAAAAATCATTATTTTAATGAATTTCGTTTTGTTTTCAAGACACTGGTTTCTTTTAAATAATAATGTCAAATATAAAATCAAATAAATCAATAACAAATAAGCAACAATGAACATTGTGGGTTTACAAAGCGCATTTTAACATCAACCTTTTGCCGGTTGCTTTTAAGGTCGTATTTTGATCGCAACAATGTGAAGTTAAAGCTCTTAGAACAATTTGTGACTATAAAATGTAAATGCCATACAAATAAATAAATTATGTTATCCATTTAAACGGTGGGTTGAAATTATACAGGAAATTGTGTTCTAAGGCTTTACAATTAAAGACTATGATTCCTTGAAAATAAATAACAAAATCTGGGTGTTTCTTCGAAGATTTAAAATTATGCCCGACAGTTCAGCACCTAGATAAATCATTAATTTGTATCAGATTGCTTGAGAGCAATGAAACCAAATTTTTTCATCATTATTTGGTCACTGGTCAAGACCCAAGCGGTCACCGATGCCCGCTCTCCACTCACTGCATTATAGACCTTATTTCCGATGTTTAGAGACTACTTCTGTATGAACAAATTTTAGAGATTTTCGGTACGATATCTCAAGTGATTAAAAACCAGAATGGGCTGGATAATGATGGCTTTTAGTTATTCAAATGCAATATTTGGTACATAAAATCTATAAAATGCATGTTTCTTAGACAAAAATCTACATACAATTCTGAACTCTACTCCCGTAGATATAGGGGTGGGATTGGTATAAGAATAGATACATATCTATCTATTTATATACTATGTAATTGTAACTACTGGTAGATATAAAATGCATTTATCAAGAGGAAAAGTTTAGAACATTGATTAATAGAACTAAACAAATCTTACAAGCAATTTTAGACTCTATTATTACAATGAGAAAAGGGTACGGTAGACCGCAAAACTAAAATTTTAACAATACCAAATAATTATTACGTTCCTTAGGTACCTTATTACTATAGCAATAAGAGTGAAGATCGAAGGAATGACTTGTAAAGGTTATTTTAGACTAATATTCTAGTTTTTTATTATTGAATTAATTTTTGTATACAAAAATAGCTAATTTGAATATTTACTCTATTTCTGATAGCAATAAGGTCTACATATACGTATTGTAACTAAATATAAATACTAAGACAACGTTAAAAAGTGAACTAACACTAAGATACAAAATCCGAAACATACCAAAGATCTTACAAAATATAATCGACCTTAAATACATTTTTGCATAATTATAAAGAACTGGTAACTAAAGTGATCTTAGGACTCTTTCACTAGCAGAAACATGAATCTCAACTATTACGAAGCAACACAACCCTATATAAAGAAAATTAAGACAAATATTCCTTCGAAGATACGTAATGTGATATAATACTATGTTAATAACACGATATGGCTAACGTAAGTGTACCAGGAGATTCCTCGATTAGTATGAATGAGACTCAACCGCGGATTAATTCACGCGTAACCGGGGCTCCGGCTCTGAGCAGGAGTAGGAACAAGGTGGTTTTTGGTCAGTAAGATCCTGACACTCCCTCGCCTCATACAAGGCTGGAAAATGGATTGGATGAATTACGCCGTTCAAAAAATAGGGCTGATAATGTTGTGAAGTCTACTCAAGTCATGATGGTGCTTAAAATTGGTGAATTAGGAATATGTGCATTATGTTTGTATTAAAACTTTCTTAATTAGTTTTAAGTTAGTTAGTTTTATATAGTGTTAGTTTTATTACCTCTAGATAAAAGGATAAATCTGAGCTATTAAAGTAAATTAACCCTTATGTCTCCGCTATACAATGCACATATTAATTATTATGTTTTCGGCTTACTCACGTAACTGTTCGACGAGGAACTCGACTAGTTTCAAGCTATGCTAGAGGCTCATATTCATGAGCAGCATTCCGCGTGTCCGTTACCCAGACCAGATGTTGTCGAAAATGGTCATTTTAATCTTATAGATAATTAGTTGCGCGGCTTCTGTAATTGTTGCGCACATTTTTAAATTTGTTGCGCTTATAGTTATTTAATTATTTCACAAAAACGTTTCCTTCTGTGGTAACATTACCCCAGCCAGATCTTTTTTATTCTAATGGGAATATTTAAATAATTACTAGCTATAAAATTAGTGGTCTAGATGAAGTAAATGTTGTGCCTTATTTTGTATTTGTTCTTTCATCGGTTGCGAAGTTATTCGAGATTTTGATGGGGTAACGTTTTTGGTTTTGTTATATCTTTGAAATGGTTAAGCGGATTCTTATCATATTTTGTACATGGCTTCTTAGGAATTAGTTTAAATTTGTTCTGCAATAAAAATGCCAAAATAATACATAGCTAAAAGGTTATTTCATTAAATAGAAAAACACTTAAATTGGTCCCACCACTACCAATAAGAGCTCTAAAAACTTACGTTATTTTAAAGCTTGTCACTGCCTTCAAATGTATGTGCAGTCGCTCTCTAGCAACCGATGAAACAAATACAAAACAAGGCACAACATTTACTTCATCTAGAACAGCCGATTTTATAGCTAGTAATTATTTAAATACTAGCTGACCCGGCAAACTTCGTACCGCCTGAAACAATTTTTCTCACCTTTTAAACCTTCCGTGGTGTTCTACGAATATTTCAAGACCAAAATTAGCCAAATCGGTTCAGCCGTTCTCCAGTTTTAGCGAGACTAACGAACGGGAATTTTTTTATTTATATAGATTCCTATTAGATAGAAAAACGTCTGGCTGGGGTAACGTTACCCCAGCAGGAAATGTTATTGTAAAATTATTAAAAAACTATAAGGGCAACAAATTTAAAAATTTGCGCAACAATTACAGAAGCCGCACAACTAATAAGATTCAAATTACCATTTTCGACAAAATCTGGCCTGGGTAACGCACACGCATTTCGCGACCAGCGACGCGGCGACTATCACGCTGCTACTCAGTAGTCATTCATGAATATGAGCCTCTGGCATGGCTTGAAACTAGTCGAGTTCCTCGTCAAACAGTTACATAAGCCGAAAACATAATAATTAATATGTGCATTGTATAGCGGAGACATAAGGGTTAATTTACTTTAATAGCTCAGATTTACCCTTTTATCCGCCTCGAATTTGTATCTGTATAAATTAACCTTCACAATAACACGGAAGCAAATTTAACCTTTAATGCAGTTACCTAAGGTCGATTATACAACTTAATATACAACACAGATAGATATCACTTTAATTTGTTTTTATACATTTAATGTATATGACAATACTACATTTAAATGTTTTACGTTTTATTTACATTATAACAATTAAAAATGGCTAGCTTTGTCCACAAACTCGAAGTAATGTTATCTCTTTCTTTGTTTAGTGATTAAAAAAAGATAAAAGTATTTATTTTTAAATTCCAGTAACAAACCCTGTTTATTCTCCAAAGGGCTGAGTACTAGTATACGTAACGTACACATTTTTGCCAAAATATATTTTGGCTTTATTTGCATCGCCGCGGAATGAAATGAAAGCGAATATTTATAACGGTAATTTTTCATAGAATAATGAACTTTATGTCAATTGTATAAAATACAAATTCTCGAAAGGAATTGGGTACTTGCCAATTAGTCAAATTCAATACGTTTTCGAACTGTCAAAAACAACAGTTATCTATGAATTTTGTACGAGATTGTGTATTGTGAAGTCACGTTTTTTGAGCTTTAAACAGTATACTTATTTCTTAAAAATTTACTGGAAAAATTCAAAAATTAAGTTAGTCATAAAATCTATAATGAAAGTGATTACTTTTCAATATTTTATTGTATTGAACAGTCGAAATAATTTATTTTTGATAAAGGAAAGTATGTACCCAATACACTTAACGAGTAATTTCCGACTAATCAGATCCAATACTTATTTCTTCTTTTCTACATTACATGTCAAAAACGAAGCTTTTCATGAATTTGCATTCTATGTTTTTTTTATTCTTATTAAGCTTGTATTCTATACAATCTATACGCGAGCAGTGGACAAACAAACTAACGCAATAATCCTAAACCATCTATCACATCGATATCATAAAAAACAAAATGGATAACATCCATAAGTATGAAAAATTACAATAATTTTGATCTTTTATTTAATCGTCAACACTATTAACTGGTCAAATATACCTTTTACGGGTACACGCTTTCCTAAGTGGTGAAAATATTCTAATCTAATGGATAACTTACGGATGTTTGGAGACACTTGGGTTGTGGCGTCCAGTGCAAAGACGAATGGCAGGGATGTTTTAATTGGTAGCCAACGTGATAAAGAATCCATTTTAGAAAGATCGATCGATTTAGTAGTTCGGTCGG